GGGACGACACCTGGTAAAGGGCGGGACAGTCACTACACAAGGTGCTCTCCAGATGGGGATGACACCTGGTAAAGGGCAGGACAATCATTACAAGGTTATTTTGACATTAAAAATAACAATGACAAAAAAACTTATTTGAAATAGATTGATCCTTCTCCAAATAGTTCATAATATATTATAGTTGCTAGCCTGAAAAATACGATAATTTAATTTTATAATGCTTAAGATCATGATGGTTGATAATGAGGGGCTCCAACACCTCAACATATCTACAAACCATTCACCTCAAAATAAAGAGGCAAGATGAGAAACCGACCTGATTGATGGAGTTGGCAGCACAGGATGCGAGGCCTGTCCCGACAGAAGTAAGCAGGAAACAGGGCCAGTCAAAAGGGCCTGGGGCCAATGCAAATCCAGCTGAGGTGGTGCTCACAACTAGAGCTGCAATACAGAGACAGAGCAGATGTTTGGTACATGGATGGTGACCAACAAGATTCCCAACTGCAAAGGCCAAACAAAGAATGAGCCATCTTTCATATAAACCAATCAATTACATTAACAACACAAACTACAGGCTAATCATCCTTTGTTTGAAAAAAATCTACATTTTTTCTGATTATTAGAATTACATGTACTCATTATTGAAAATTACTCATTTTCTTCTAACTTCATTATACTTAAGAGTAAAAATAAGGTAGGTCTTCCAGATTCAACCATACATCAAGCACGTACTGAACTCCAAATTCATTATCAGCATCCATTACCAGGAACAAAGACGTAGAAGGCCTTGTTCCTGCTCCTGGATAACTTGACAGGGAGATGATAGACATTTGTTTACAACTGCAATAAAGGTAGCAAATACTAATGGTCCCTATTCTGTGACTAACTCTGGACAAACCTAGGGGAGGGTTCACCTATAACAGATGATGGTCCTGGGGGACACAGGAGGGAGGCTAATCAGATAGCCTAGGCAGCCTACAGGCAGCATGTAAGTTACTCTTTAGGAGGGACACAGAGAAGCCAAGGGAACGGAGGGGTGAGCAGCACCATGAGTAGATGTGCACAAGGGCAAGCAAGACCGTGTGACACCATCTACCAGATTCCCAAACCAAAAACCCAGAAGTAACTTCTGACTTTCTCACTCTCTACATCCCATTTGTTGCAAAGTACTATCTGTCCTACATCCACAGCTTGCCTTAAACCCAGCACACTGCCACCATCTAGTCTAGTGGTTCTCAACTAGAAGTGGGAGACACTGGGTAATGTCTAGAGACATCTGTGGTCACTCCAGGTACGGGAGTAGGGTGCTGCTTGTCTTCTAGAGGACAGAGACAGGGGCTGCTCTGTGACTGCCATGATGCAGAGGACAGCCACCCACAACAAAGAACGGCCTGGCTTCAAAAGTCAACAGTGCCAAGAATGAGAAACCCCCATCTCATCCTAGCGACTACCATGCCAATTTCCTCCCTACCTGGTCTCCTTGCTGCCACCTTGCTTCTCTCTCCACAGCAGTGTTTTAAAAATGTAAACAGGTCACATCACTTCACTGATTTGAAATTCTTTGCTACCACACCTGGAATAAAATGGGAACTCTTCCCCCGCCACACTGCATCTCTCCTCAGCTCACTCGCTGCTCTGACCACGCTAAGTTCTTTTTTGCCCCATGGTCCTGGTAATTCTGTTTCCTCTGCCTCTTTCCAAAACTGGCTCCTTCTTATCCTTCACAGCCCATCTGAAATATTGCCTCCTAGAGAGAAATTTCCTGACCATCTTCCTAACCCAGGCCTCCCCAGCTCCTCCTGGCGCACGTCATCGTTTTATCTCCTTCCTGGCACTAAGCACAGTCTGCTCACTCTGCTCCTCACTGGAATTAAGCTCCATGAAGGCAGGAGCCCTGCTGAGGTACGCTGCTGCATTTCCAGGGATACCACCAGCCAGGCATAGAGAAGTATTTACCAGAAACACAGGAGGAAGGCTGGTGGCTGCCAGATGGCAGTGTATCAACCCAGGAGGTCTGCACGTCCCCTGGTCAGCAGTGGAGTCACTGAGAGTAAGGTGAGAAAGATCTATACTGGAGCTCAGCCTAGCAGCAACACGTACCATGACTTAAAGCAGCAGAGCTCTGCTGAGGGACATGTTAGGAGGCTAGACCATCAATACACTGTCAGTAAAGACAGCAGAAGTCAGAACTGAAGACAATGGATATTCTGATTAGACAATTGTGAAGACCTGGGACTATGACAGGTAGGAAGACAGAACAAAAAACAACAGGAGAGAATGAGAGGCAAAGAGCTGCACTGGATGTGGAAAAGAACAGCAGTACAACAAAAATCAGGAAATCAGGGGAGAGGGAAGGCAGAAGTATACTGACAGTAGATGAAATATCAGACTGCAGTCAGGAGAGAGAATCAGAAGACACTAGGCTCTGGAGTGACCTGCCTAGAGACTATGGCTGAGCCTTAGGACAGGTGAGCTCATCACTGGGCAGCACGCGGTGGGAAGAAGTATATGAAAAAACATGTTGGGTCTTCACAGATGTGAGACAGGAAAGAATTAAGGACACAGGAGCTCTGGAGACGAGCATCGCGAGCACGAGGTGCATGGACGGCCAGTAACCGGGAGCTCTGGGGACGAGCATCGCGA